CGATCTTAATATAAGAAAAGATTATATAAATAAAAAGGGAGAATGCACATATCTAACTGATAGTGTTTTCAAAGTCTTTGAAATTAGTGTCACTGAGTGAAAGTTTATTCAAATTATTATTGTAACAATCAACTGTGAATTTTTTTGGGGAGAAAAAATGGATTTCGTTAACATTGAAACAAACCGCAAAGAATAATATACAATCATAACAATGGAATATTACAGTAACGTGATTTTATATCCTATTTCTAGAGGACCTATATATATATATCGGATCATAGATTTAAGTAAAAATGTCATGAACATTGTACATCCTATCAGGTGCCATAAAACAACTTGTATATTCCAACTCAGATTAGGAAGGAATAAGGGCTGGAAGATTATTCAAAAGGTACAGTCAAAAACTTCATTTTTTCATGATACGATACAGTATATCACAATGAGGAATTGGGGAATCGGGTGCAATACTCTAGATCCTAATCGAAGGAATTGCATTTGAGATCATGCCTCCCAAGGCATGTGATGGTGCTCTTACGTTTTATAAATCATACCATTAATCACGGCTGCTCTATTCCAAGACAAAAAGGAAATTTTGATAATAAAGAGTCATGATGATCATGTGAAGTCAAACATTGGTGTCAATCATTCATACTATACGAAACAACTTTTTTAAAGGTCATGGATAAACTAAAGTTCAGTTCCAGATGGTTATCAGAAAAGGAAATAAATAAAACTAGAAATGCAATCGTGATCAAAGATATGCGTGCAATGACGCCCGTGTTTTTACGTGTCAAACAAAAGAGCTTATCCCGGACTATCTATAGCAATCTGTAAGAAGTCTGTAGCTTCTGTGCTAGTGGAGGTAGGGCGAAAAAAGGGCCTAAAAAACGACCCGAAACGAAAAAATGGCGCCTGGACGGTCACACATGAGTGATTCAAGAGAACGAAGATCGTCATTGCAATCAGTCAGACACAACTTTTGAAAACCGTGCACAAGTAAATATGCCGAACCAGCGTATAATTCATGATGAATGTAGAGCCCTCGACGTTGAATGCGACGAAATCTGCACAAAAGGCGCATTATTTGTTAGTCAACTAACTTTTGCGATATTTTGAAATAGAATATAAATGTCTTCAAAGTCCTGGAATCTTTCGTCATATAATATGACTTTCAAATGAAATTTGAATGAAATATATTTTCAATATGATATCGGCTTACATTAAGAACAGGTCGACGATGCAAGATTTCCCCTCAAGCCTCCTATACACGATAGTTATGTCTATATACGGTAGAAAAAACACTCCAATCCCCCAAAATTGCAACAAAAGTTTTTTCAACGGTTTCTAGTAGTATTTGACCTCAAACATAACATACTAAAAGTATACCAAAATCGGAGGTTCAGAAAGCTGTTTTTTCAAGATGGCGTCCAAGGTGGCCGCCCATACCTAAAAATGACCATAAATCACTTATTATTCATCCTAGAGACATAATTTGGGTGTCTATCCCATGGATTGGGGGGGGGGGTCAGAGAATCCATTGAGACAAGTAAGAATGGTTTGTGATGGTCTAAGAAACCCCAAAATCCACGATGGCGTCCAAAATGGCCGCCATAACATAAAAATGGCCATCAGTTACTTATCATCCATCCGAGAGAAATAATTGGGGTGACAATGCTATGGTTTTTGGGGTCAGAGAATCCATCAGGATAAGTTAGCATGTTACACAGTAGTTCAGGAAACCACACAATCCAATATGGCGTCCAAAGGGCCACAAACCACTATCATTCTCAATAGAGGGCGCACTTTATGACCAGGAAATTTCTCTAGCCATTATGGTGTCACCAACCCCCACCCCCCCCCCCCCCCCCCAAACAAAAAAGAGAGGGTCAATTTAAGTATTGACAGGTAATTTTCGACACAGGGGGAGGGGGAAGTGACAAAGACAAAGTAAAACTTAATAATAATATCTAGACACACATTCATAATAGCTAATACACATGCAGATCTTCACGTACCTTCATTTTGATGAGGAATGTACTTGAGTAAGGAAAACTCATCTTCTGCTTCACTATCAAGTGGCTCGTTCTATGGATTGTGGCATACATCAAGTTGGCAAGGTCCAAATACACACTGTTGCATGCTAGTCCGTAACGTCTGCAGGTATAGCGATGTGTGCTACAAGCAATACAGCGGTTGCAATGAACCACCTTATAGAAGATTTCTAGGTGCAGCATCTGTATTCGAGATCAGTGGAACCCGGTGATTGTCCTCTAATTTCCCCAAAAAATATGATGTAATTTCGCAAATAGCTTAACTTGTTTTATGAAAGAATTGCACGATACAAAATCGCAAACATACCATCAGGTTCATCAATGTACTTAATTTATCTATCTATTTATTCATTTATTTAATAATTCCTTTATTTTTATACTGTATATTTCAATTAGATATTTAATAAGTTGTCAAACTATAGGAAATAAGGAAATTACATATTTATCATCCAGAGATGGGATTTATGAAAAGAAATCTATATCAAGAAAGAATGGCCTACGTTTCGAATAATGTATTATTAAAGCATAAATAGAGCTAATATTTGTCGGCTATTCTGTATTATTCGAGATATTTTAAATCAAATATTAAGGAGAGTTAAATCTTTATAACACCATGTTTGTGTTTACTCCTCCTCCTCCTTTTCCTCATACGACTTATTCTTCTACTTAATCATAATGTTGTTTTCCATTTCTAATTTTATATTTAGGGGAGGGGGTGGTTTCTGAGAGGACTAATGTAAAACCTGAGTATTTTAACACTTACACGGATACTGTATTAACAAAAATTATTATTCCTGTTTTTTTCCAAAAAACGTATACTTCTGAGGTTCCGGTTGTTGCATTTATTTGCTGATTGTGACTGACATGATACGATAATTAAAGAGAGCGAGAGAGAGAGAGAGAGAGAGAGAGATAGATCAGGATGACGAATTTACGTCTCGCATACAGCCCTTTAATAACTAATATAAAACCATTGTCCGAATACGCCGTTTTATATTACGCGTAAAAATGACAATAATCAATTTCCTTGATACTCCGTTAAATTAATTATTACAAGGCATGTACAGCTATTTTCACATGTTTTTAAAATAGGGAATTATACTGAATCTACTTCAGGTTTACGTATACTGCCATCTACTGCCATCTACTGCTCACAATGTCCCGACGTGTCGACAGCCATGTCCCACAATACATCACACACTGCATAACGGGGGCATGATGATGCTTGGGTACAGGAACCGGAAATTGCTCTATGTACTTCTTAATGGCGCGAATGAAATACATTAGAGCAGTGATAAAGATGTTTCTAAATTACCCTGCCTTTGATGGTATTTTATTTCCTCATAAGCATAGAAAAATAGCTTTTAGTAATCACACAATGTCATGGGTTTTAATATATTAAGTATTTCGATTTCTATTATTTTCTTTGTACATGTATATCATGCAAGTATATATCGTAAACGGAACTACAAAATTGAAACAAACATGTCCATTTAAATTGGTTTGACGCCTTTCCTTCCATAATTGTATTTGTTCTCTCAACAATTTACAATTAGCAGTACTTCCTAAACATTTTGTATCATCCCAACTGCTTATATTTAGTCAAAAGCTCTGTTTTTGTTTATCAAATTTGTTCACGTTGATATAATACACATCATAAAGTAATCATGACATTACGAAGCTAAAAGAAAAATAACATGTATGGTAATTAAATAGATAGATGGAACTAATTTCCTGCACTGTACAGAGTGAGTCAGAAAAAATGTCCCACTTTTTAAAAATTGTATAGTTTGAAGTATCAATACTGAATCATGGGATTCATGATATGTCTTGATAGAGTTATCCTTCCAGTAAATTTAGGTACCATTTTCATTTGAATCTCTGCATGCATGACTGAACATCAGACAATCTTTACAAGACTACCAAATCTCACCTGCGCCAAGTTGCTGGGTGAGTAATAACATAGTGTAGTGAACAAAGACAACCAGACAGACAAAAAACACACACACACTAAAACGCACACGCAAACACAAACACACACACACGCAGACGCATGTTCACGCACATACGCACACAACACACACGGTGACAATTGTTTCATAATTTCCCCTTTTCTGATTAAGCATTGATTTTTATCAAGACCGCTGAATGTTTAAGTGGTATAACCCTGACAATCTTTCCCTTTAGTACACATTCACTACCACTATCATGTCATCATCATCATCATTGTAATGATCTTAATCTTCATCATCATCTCATTATCATCATCATCATCATCTACATCATCATAATGAAGCACACCATTCGCCAATACGCACTAAGAGGATAGCGGCCTCTCAACTTTGCGTCCCGTCAAAAAGTGACAGTTTGGGTTGGCCTTGTCGGGAATGGAACGCTCATTTGTGTGCGTGTTCCTGTGCGTGTGTTTGAGCGTGAGTATGTGCGTGCGTGTGTGCGTATGTGTGAGTGCGTGTGTAAGTGTGTATGTGTGTCTGTCTGTCAGACTGTCTTTGTTCAATACACTGTTTTATTCCTCACCCAGTAACTTGGCGCGAGTGAGATCTGGCAGTCTTGTAAAGATTGTCTGATGTTCAGTCATGCATGCTGAGATTCAAATGAAAATGATACCTAAATGTACTAGGAGGATAACTCTGTCAAGACATATCTTGAAACCCTTGATTAAATATTCATACTTCAAACAATACAACTTTTAAAAAGTAAAACATTTTTTCTGACTCACTCTGTATAGGCTAACAGATTGTCCTTCGATCTATTCATGACTGAGTAACTCTGTTGACTCTATACCATATAATAATATCAACAGAAACCCATCACAATTGTGAGGATGTATTTAATCATGAAAGGACAAATCTGTTTTTTAGGTTCCTGTTTCGCTTTAATCCCCAGCAAACTTCCCCTCCGTGGATTTGTATACGAACTAGGCTTTTCACATCATTTTCACAACGGTTCGTTGACCACGGCTTTGCACAGAAACATTGCAGTGGTAATTGAACTGCATTTCGTTTTCGTGTCATGGAGTAACTTGGACGTATTTCGGATCCGCCTCAATCATGAATTCATGGTATCTGCAGTTTGTATTTGCGATGGTTCTGGTCGTCAATGGTATTTCGTGTGATAGTGGTAAGACACATCCTATATTATTGGTCATTGATGTTTTATGTGTTCTTTCAATTTGATTTGATTTGATATATCACGATACATGTTGTTTTCGTTTTATGGAGTAATTTCGACGTTTTTGGATTCCTCCTCAATCGTGAATTCATTGTATATGCATTTTGTTACGATGGTTCTTGTCATCAGTAGTATTATATTTTGTAAAAGTGGTAAGATATATCCAACTTATATTTCATATAATATGTGATTGATATCATATGTGTTATAAAACAGCGGAAAATATACTGATTTTATTTTATTCGATATTCAACATGTTGTTTTAGTCGTTTCATTGAGTAACTTCGACGAATTTTGAATCCGCAGTATCATGAATATCGTATGTGCAATTGACATTGACAATTTCCTAGTCATCAATTGCATTAAACGTTAAAGCGGAAATATATTTTTCCTACTTCCGCTAAATAAAAATAAGTCAGGTTTGATATGACCCTTTATATCGGTAGTGCGTATACAAGAGTAAAACGGAGTAGGGCCCACATAGAAACACGGATTTTGAATAAGCCATTTGACATATCACTTTTTCCCAGGACAATTATCGTCAAAGAAAACCAACACAAGATGGAAGCATGGTAAACATGTAGAATGTTTAATGAACAAACCACATATCACTGCTTTCAACCAATTTTGATCATATTATTGCTATTTGACATGCTAAAAAAGTATTGGGTATATTTCCATATTTAGGCAGGTTTTCGTAATACATTGCCTCGCTCAGTTTTCATATAAATGTCAATAGTTTGAGATTGCATGTTTGTCTCATTAGGCACAACCACTTGCAGAGCAATTATCGAGATTTAAAGAAAACAATTTTTTATGATCGCGATCAAAATCTCGTTAATTAAAGCATGTGAATTTTGATCACGATAAGTATTTGTCGGTTAGTCTAAATTTTTAGTGGAAAACTTTTTTATACGACCGAGCACTTTGAGTGTGCATGATAGTGAGATATAAACATGTGCTCGTTTATGGTATCTTTTCGTGACGTGTTGGAGACGCGCAATAAAATATGTAAGAAAATCTGATCGCGATCAGAATATCATGTTTTTGATGGAGTGTGATAGTCTCTCATAGCACGCAATGACGTTCCTTTTGCTTATGTTTATGTTTCATAATATTATATCCAGAAATGCTGCATTGTGGTATCGATGGCACAACAGACTTTACAGTGGCGGCTGATGATGATGATGATGATGAGGACGGTATGTCACGGTCAATGGGCCTACCAAGGTCTTTTCTAACTTATTTTCTTCCACCTTCCTTCTTTTTTTGGGGGGGGGGTGTACTTTTGTTACCTTGTTTACTTAGTTTTATTATTTTTCAAATTATTATTATTGTCTTTCATTAAATCTTTTTCGTATCTGATATATATTTGTATCGTAGTGCGTGTGTGTTTGTGTACTTTCCTCTATTTTGAGGGACCAAGGTCATTTCTTACTTCTTTTTTTTTCCATCTCCCTTTTATTTAGGGGGGGGGGTACTTTTGTTACTTTGTTGTATACGTAGTTTTATTATTTTCCAAATTATTATTATTGTTTTTCATTAACTCTTTTTCTTATCTAATATATGCTTTTGTTGTTAAGAATGTGTGTACATTTTCTCTGTATTGAGGGACTTCTGAAGGCACGAGAAATGTGTGGGTAAAAACCAACGACAGCTGTCGTCAATCAAAAGCAAAGATTCATTTTTCTTCCTTCGGTGTTGACTTTGCAAATTTTCACGTAGAATTTTATGAAAGCAACTTTTAAATAAAACAAAGACATATTAAGTCTATTCACTACACTGTGATTTGTATATTTATATGTATTCATTGCGTTTTGTTCCCTTTTCCCTCTCTACCAGCTCTGCAAAATATGTCACTGGATGTCAACACCAACATAACATGTGGCGCCAGCGACACATGGCGTGGGGAAGAATGGTTCTCCTTCGAGATCGTATGCCCAGTCGAATGGCGAATTCTTCTTCGTGTATCTCCAATGGACATCAATAAAGGCATCATTGTAAAAGCCTTTCCTGATGAGGAGGGGGAGGAGCACAGCATCTCTAGAAGAACTCGTCCACCCAACTATCCGATTCTTCTTCTGTCAAAGGACAACATTTTGGAAATCAATGCGACATATTCCGGCAATACAATGCAAAACAAAATGTTTAAGCTAAGTGCTTGGACGGTCAAAGTCGTAGGTAAGCGAAACCTATGTTATTTAAAGCCCCACTGTCCTACTCTATAATTATAGGAAACTTCCCCAATCGGTGCCTGTTGGTCCCCCATGATCCTCTTTTTCTTATATTAGTTGAGAGCTGAATTAATGAGATAGCCACCTGTCAGTGACCTTGCTGTGTGGTCTAATCCCTTCTGACCCAGTAGTATTGACGGTCTTTAAATAATTTTATTCCACCACATGCTTGAACAGTGACATTCACCTTTTAAGTGTTAATATAACAAATAAATAAACAAGACTTTTTATCAAATAATGAAAAGTGCTTCCCGTTCCAAACATGAGGGGATGCGTGAGTAGGTGTGTGTGGGTGTGGGTGTGTGTGTGTGTGTGTTTGTGTGTGTGAACGTGTTTGTTTCTCACTCTGAATTTCTCTAAAATATTGCGCAGGGCAAAGTTCAACGCAATGGTTAACATTTTTGTGTTGTAAAGCCTCTTTTGAATTATTGACAATTCTTCAAAAGTCCCAGGCGAATAAAAATTCTAAAGGTTCCTCTTTCTGTTTATCCCGGTTGACTATAGTTTTACTTGAATCCTTAGAATGAATATATACATGTATAGGGATTGACTATGATCAGAGTTTAATGAACACCGTTGAACAATTGCGAACGTAGACGGAAAGCTTCAGTCTCTGATATCGACGATTGTTCCGCTGAGATTGCATCGATCTGGCTCCTCTGACCGCCTCTATACATAGACTGAAGTACGTCCTATGGTGACTGTGTGGAAGGAATGGTTCGGTTCGGCCGGACCGCGATGAATGAGATAAAGAAAATCGGGGGAGACAATTTCGGAGCCAAAATAAATTCCGAATCGGCTCAATCTACCCCCCCCCCCTCCCCCACCCCCTCCCCTCCCCCTCCCCCCTGAGCGAGTTGTCTGGATAACCGTCTATGCATGCGTTTGTGAACAAAATAATATCAGTTGTATTAAAGAATGACCGATACCAGACGGTTATTTCCTGTCTATTTCGAACACTGCTGCGTACAGTACAGTAGGGAAGTACTGATGTAAATGTCACTACAGGTATGTTTTCCCTATTGCATGGCGTATATGAAAGGAAAAAGTTCTGCGGTGACATTCACATCTATTTTCTCCTCATTATTGGTACAATATAGCAGACAATGAGATCAGTGCGGTTAGTAATTCAGAAAATAGAATGGGGCGAAAAACCGCAAATCAGTTATTGTTTTGGGCATGTTGGGAACGCCCATAACAAATATGGACAAGTAACTGTAAGAACTGTACCTAGCAAAATTATGTACAATATATTATATTTAACAGCATATTGTAATCATAAAACATCAAATTACGTTTCATCCTCTTCCTCATATTGTTCTTTCCACAGAACGGATCGGCCCTGATTCGTCATGCCAGGTGAAACAGACTTCTAAGGGTAAGATATAAATTAGTATCAAATCAACAAAAAAAGAAATTCAATGATACTTTCTAAAATCCTGAGTGTAGCCTATTTTGTTAGTCGTTTATTATCCCAGAATCTGCTAGTAAGAGAATATCAGTAGTCAGGGGCGGCGATTTCTTTCCATGAGCAGGGGGGGGGGGGATGCGAGGGAAAATCTGTATTTAGTTGGTATCACCATTGGCGTAATGAGCAAAAACGTTTGGTGAATCATTCTTACCAAGTGGTTTATAACTTCTTCCGCAAAATCTTAGAGTCTGTATCATTGAGAGGGGGGAAGGGTATCTTGTTGCAACGGACAAGGTTGAGAAACCATGGATTGTTCAGGATGGACATCTTCGATACTACTTAATGTATTGATATCGCTACCAGCCATTGGGTTGATGTGCTGTTGTAGATCGCCACGACCGAATCGACATTTATGTGCGGTAAGATACAACGCCAGTTGGTGAAAATAGTCAAACCTATTTAGGGGCCATCTTTCTTTAAGTATAAAGGCTGCCTGCTTATGGTGGCCATGTATTTTGTCTCCCTCGAGAAAGAAATGTGCGTTGTAGAACCTGTTTACAATGGCCACATTGTTGTCATCAGGGGTCACTTTATCTATTTCCCTTAAAAGGGCATCAATAGACAGGTTTGAATGCAGATAGTTTTTTCCACATAAAGGTATAGACCAGTTCTGGTCATGTGATTGCATTGTGAAAGAAACGTTGTGGAATCGATCGGAAAAGGTTGGTCATCTAGCATGAAAGTATTGGTGTGTACTGCAAGGTTCTGGAATCATCAACATGATTAGAAACTTGGCCCAGTCTTTGCAAATTTATAAGTACTGTACACAGAAACATATATATGGGACTATATACGCGATCGCGATATCTATCCAAACCGGATCGATATGATTATTTACCAAATATATAAATTAGAAGGCGGGCTCCCGGCAAAATTTGTATCATTACGTATTAGTCAAGAACATATTCTTTCACATGAATGGTAATTATAAGCTTCCATTTCAAAAACTGGTCTTTACCTTTAAGCATGTAAGAATTGATCATGATTTAAAAACATAAATTTGTAAATGCATTTAGTTGTCATATGTAGCACCTCCTACTTTTTTTCACACGAGTTCTTTTACCTCTCTATAGTCGATTCAAATTCGACGAGATACATGGGTATAGTGATTGTAATGATAATGGCGACGCCGACGACGACGACGACGACGACAACGTGCAATGAAGATGATGATGTTGATGATGGTGGAAATCGTGATGGACAGTTGATGTTGCGATATTGTGCCTTGTTTGTTACGTGACGTATGCTTACTTTAACAATTTTTTCTTTCCTATTACTTTCCAAGATTCATCCAATACCACAGGTACATGCGATGACAGGTGTGACGCATATTACGACAAAAGCAAGTCATGTCAGTGTAACAGACCATGTATCAATCATACAGATTGCTGCAATGACTATCGCGCCTTATGTGGTAAGAATACATAATTTGTATTTATTATTATTATTATTATTATTATAAAGTATTATTTTAGCGTCACCTGTGCATGGGAGGCGAAAAGCGAACTGAATCACTGTAACCCTCGGGTCTCTACTCCCTGTGTAACTGATTGGGGTGTGCAGGTGGACCACGGAGCCTCCAATTTCCTTTCTATCCGAGAAATGGAGTGTTTTCCACTTAACATAGTATATGCGTCTATGAAACAAGGGGAGAGGCACGTTAACACACAACGCAGGCTTCAATCATCCGACTGGGTTGGATTCGAACCCATGATTTTTAGTTCGACAGGCAGACGCTTTACCAACTGAGCCAATTAGAAAAATGGTAATAATTTTAAAAGCACAATGCAACCCTTGTAATATTAGTTCATTTTACTGAAAGCGGTAAAACAGGAGAAACAGAATGGAGAAAGTTTGAAATAAATCCGACAAATGATATGACATATATGAATATTCCAAAATCAGATCATTAAATTTCTGCGCATCTTAAATTGGCAATTGGGTTAATGGATTGCGATTTAGCCATGGACCGGGTAACTATTCCGTTTGATGTGGGTAAAGATATAACTAAAATCTTTTTTTTTCTTCTTCTTCTCATTTTCATTAGGGGCACTCAAAAAAAAGAAAAACTCTCCTTTTAATAGTCATTTTTTTTTTTAATATTGACATTTTAGTCATGTTTGTGTTAAAAAAAAAGAAAATTTGTCCGGCATTACATCCCATACGCCTTGTGATTAAAACCTTCCAAAAATCATAACTTTCTTAGTTTCTGCTTTTTTTCTTAAAACAAACACACCCGGAGGAACTCAACCCAGAACAACATTATCTAGTATACAATGTTGCCCTGTGTAGTTCGGGGAGGGGAGGTATTTGATTTAAACAAATGAGCAAAAACTGTTGGGGGGTCAGAACAAAATCCTTATCACAACCAAGTTGAAAATGCAGGGGCGGCAAGGTGGAGCGCCTTTCAAAATACTAGGGAGGGGGCTCCAACAAAAACGGGCATTTTCTGGAAAAAAGGGCACCCACAAAGGGATACATCAACAAAACCTACACTATTTTTAGACATTGGTATATACCCCTACATCGTCATGATTGTGATTATACTACTGCTTAATTAAGCAACATACTTTGCAGTTTGGTGCGATGGTCTGAATATTAATTTTCGTGCGATCGAAGCGAACGAGCAAAACATTCAAGATTTGTGAGGTCCCAGTGCGAAAAATAATATCTTATAAAGAAGACAGCAACAAAAAGATGATGAGTATTAAGCACAATCTAATGAAGAAAGACTCAAAAGTAATTTTATAACATCTATCAATGTGAGCGAGCATAGCCCGTTCTAGGGAAAAAAAATTAAAAAAGGGGGCTCAAAGTCGCCTTGAATTAGGGGTGCATGTTATGGAGAAGAAAGTAGGCACTTATCAAAAGGTGCTCATGTCAAAGTAAAAAGGGCAATTATTAGAGCCTTCAGAGGTCAAAATGGCACTTCTTGCACCTGAAAAGGGACACTAAACAGAAATGAATAAAGGCACTTGAGAAAATGGAAATGAGAAATCTGCTGAAGGAGAAGTGCACCTATCAAATTTTAATAGGGGCATTTTATCAAATTTTAAAAGGGGCATTTTTAAAAGGGGGAGGGGCTCGTATAAAAAAAGGAAAAGGGGCACTTATCCGAAATAAATATGGTACTTATTAGAAATGAAAAGGGGTACATGTCAAGATAAAAGGGGCACTTATCAGAGATAAAAGTGTTATTTAAGAGAAAGTGAAGAGATTTCTTATTAAGAAGAAAAAAATACACTCATTAAAAAGGAAAAGGGGCACAAGTCAAAGTAAAAAGGGGCAAAACAATATCAGAAGTAAAAAGGGGAATTTCTCGCACCTGAAAAGACGTACTCACCAGAGAAAAAAAGGACAGTTATTAGAAAAGAAAAGGGGCACTTGTCCTATGTAAAAGGGGGTTGTTTTGGGGGGGTACCTGAAGTGGGGGCACAGTGCTCCCCCTCCCCCCCCCCCCCCTCCACCGGGAGTGCCGCCTCTGGCATAATGGGCACAAAGGAAAAAACCCGAAAAATCGTGTCATTTCAGCAACATATGTAAATCACTAGTATCGAATGAAAAATAAACCAACTTTGTAAATTATATGGGGGGTCAACTGCTCCTCAAGCCCCCCATCCCCTTCATCGGTACGCCAGTGATAATACTGAATGGCAGACAAAATATTAGCCCTATATAGAAAAGAATGCATTGTACACTTTTTTGTTTATGCTTTAACAATACATCTTTCGAAACGTAGGCCATACTTTTTAGTGAAAACTTTTCTTTTTTTTTCAAATGCAATATCTCGTTGATATATATGTTATTTGACAAATTAGCAATACGCTCATCTATTTCCTATAGTTTGACAATTTATTGAATATATAAATGAAATATACAGTAAAACAATAAATAAATAAATGAATGAATGGATGAATGAAAGAATGAACACATGAATAATTATATGTACTAATCAATTAATGAAATACATAACTTTATAGTGTGTTTTCCTGTAAATACATGGATAGACACAGATGCAACGTGTGAAGAGCGATGTGACAATGGTTATGACCAAGATTTGCCTTGTCAATGTAACAACAGATGTCAGGATAAGGATAAGGATGATTGCTGCGAGGACTACAAGGAAATATGTCTGAATAAAGGTAAGCAAGTTAAAGAGGTTGCGTTCTAGAAAAGACGGGAAATAATTGAATTTGCAAGCACTTTAATTTTTTAATCACACCAAACTAGTTCTCACTACGTTTTGGAACCGTCCTATAAAATCGTAAAACGGTTTGTGGTCGGAGTAGAATTCATAAATAATGTCTATAATACGACCCTTCAGTTCGTTCATAAACAGTCCTCAATACGTCCATCTCGGCGGTACCCCATCCACAGTCAGTTCATATCAAGTTCAGATCGGGTAAATTTGCCATTTACAGGCAGTTCAAGCCAGTCCGTAGTCAGTTTATACCCGTTATTAATTAGTTCTACCTCGTTACCAATACGACCAAACAAATTCTATCAAGTTCAGAGACAGTTCGGCTCGTCCTCATCTCGTTCGTAGTGCGTTCGAACGCGTTCCTAGAGCGTGTGGAATCACGTCCTGGCTCAAGGGTTATAAAACCCCAGCGCGTTCTTGCCATTCCTTATTCCCGTTCAACTTCAACGATTCAAGCTTTGCAAATCAAGACATTCAATTGAAGCCCCCATCATACAAAACTAGTTCTCACTACATTCTGTAAAATGTTGCCAAACGTGCTCAAACTCTGTGCGAACGGAGTGAACGTAGACGCAACTGTTTACGATCTGTATGGACGGGCTCGGACTAGCTTGTACGGAAAGGGTGTCCTAAAACTTTAAGCCTGTTCAAATTGTTCCCGTTCTGCAATTAGACGGACTGACAACGTACTTATAACGAGATGGACGTACTACGAACGGAATTGGCGTACTTCGGTCCTACTAGGAACGTGTTACGAACTAGTGGGAATGCTTTGGATGTATTGGGAACGAGGTAGAACTAGTTAAGAACTGGTTTATACTGATTACAGACGGGCTTGGACTGCTTGGAAATGGCAAATTCACCCGATCTGAACTTGATATGAACTGACTCTAGACGGAGTACAGATGAGATGGACGTATTGAGGACTGTTTATGAACGATTTAGGATCGGATTATAAACATCATTTACACATTCTACCCCGACCATTACCAGTTTTTCACGATTTTCTAGGACGGTTCCGAAACGTAATGAGAACTAGTTTGGTGTGATGGGGCTTAGCTGCTAATTAATGCTCGATCACAGCACGTTGTACCACGTTCCAGGTAGGATCGAAGTACGGCAATTCCGTTCATAGTACGGCAGTCAGACTGTTTGTGGTACGTCCTCCTCGTTGTAAGTACGTTGTCACTCCGTCTAATTGCAGGATGGAGACAATTTTGAACAGGCTCAAAGTTCAAGAGCACTCCCCCTTATAGCCAGTTCGAGCCCGTCCACGAAGGTCAGTTCGTAAACAGTTGCTACTACGTTCAACTCAATTCGCACACAGTTTGAGCTCGTTAGGCAACATTTTGCAGAACGTGTTGAGAACTAGTCCAGTGTGATGGGGGCTTTAGTACATAAGAAGGGCATAGGTCAAAGAAAAGTATCCCCCGAGCAAGATGACTCTTCTCTTGCCCCCAGTTTCAAAACATAACAAGGCATAGCCATATTGTGTGGACCACACTTTCGTGCCAAATGTTTGCTTAGTCCCAAATCCACACTGCTGTGTGCAGTGAATGTGAATTTAGGGAATAAGAACCAATTTGTGATAATTGTTATGATTACTAAACTCCATAGTAGACACAAGTACTTAATAATTATGTAAACAAGTTTCTTTACAAGTTACATATTTCTTTCACAATGCAAACATTGAATCGCATGTTCAGAACTCAACTTTATTAACAAAATGTCTGTGTAGGAAATGAATGTGGTATGATATACTGTGAAATAATGTCACCCAAAAGATGTAACTCTTCGTCGTAAGTCTCTGTTGGTTCATGTTCATCCCGATGTAGAAGAAGTGTGTTGTTATCAATCATTAAAGCATGCTTTTATAATTATGTTATCATTCCGCGCTTAAAGATTAATATTTTTTTTTCCTTTTTTTTCTTCAAATTCATATAAGCATTTATCAAATAAGTTTATGATTATCGTTATTTGAGGGATCTGCATTCTACATGCCCTGCTTGTCAGTGGATCCCTACATTTGCACAGTTGTTACTTTACAAAAAGAAGCATAACTTACACTAAATATAAACATTCTATTGTAATTCAACTAATGATTTGAAAAATGTAATGTATTAATATACATTAGATTCTGTGATTGATTTCTTGTCCTAATTATTTATAATGATTGTTCTGTTAGAAATGAAACACTGTTTAAAATGCTGTTGAAGTTACCCACTTGTAAGGCGGTAAATTGTTGGTAACTGGCATCTTATTCAAACTTGGCATCTAAAAGAATAAGTGAATAATTCGAATAATGCTTCTTGTATGTTGATTTATTTTTACAACATTTTAAGTTAAAAACTTTTTATTTTTAAATAAAGTGTGGTAACAAAAAAGGAATAGGATGTTCACCACATTAAATCGTACATCAGTTTAGTATTAACTACAACAACAAAATGACATTTTGAGCTCAGTAAGCACAATCCTTTGCTTCCAGAAGTCATGAAAATTCAAACTTTTAGGAGGCATGATTTATTGAATAAAGAAAAGAAGAATTTGAGTGTTTATTTTAGTAGTTTGGGTTAATAGTTTTAAGTCAGACAATGGTGCACTTACGGACACCCGTATTAAGCGCCTAATAATAAAATGTTGTGTATTATTATTGGATGGCCACATTGAATACTTCAAATATTCTGGCGAGCCGCGAACTTGAACATTAAATATCATGCCTAAGCGTCCCTCTGTTAAACTCAAAGCCTGTCTGCACTAGTTTGGCCAAGAGGGATTAGACCTTCCAGCATGGTCACTGACAGGTGGTTAACTCATCAACTCAGCTCTCAATTAACATAAGAAACAGAAGATCATGGGGGACCAACGGGCACCGCTTAGACATTGTTTTCTATGTAGATGGAGCAATTAGCTACAAGTAGTACAGTGGAGCTTTAAGAACAACAGTTTTCAATTCATTACGGTTCATACGAATCACCATGGTTACATGCCCATGTTTCAGGTTTAACCCAACCCCCCCCCCCCAAAAAAAAAAATGAATAAAATGAAAGTTTATGAATTTTCTGTACAGAGCAGCTTGAAGAAGAGCTCGCAAGATACGTCACAGTGTTGCCAATTTGTGTTTGATTGATCGCAAATTAAAAATTCCTTACTTTCCTATTTCTTATCGGATTTTGCTGAAACTATAATTAACTTGTTTTTCTATTCTGTCTGCTTTTGTAAAAACCAATATTACCAGGGAGGATTTCCCCTTTAATAAACAGAGGGTAAGTGTGATCGGGTGGATGACCAGGGGGGGGGGGGGGGTAATTGGCAATGGGGAGAGTTTTCCTGAGGCGGTAATTGTCCTCGGGGGTGTTTGCCTTTAGTTGTCCTTGGTTGTTGTTGACATTGGGGTAATTTCCTGAGGGGTAATTGTCATCGGGTTAATTGTCCTCGAAAGGGGGGTAATTGTCCTAGAACTGGGAAAAAGTAATGGTGTACTTTAACCACTCATTGTCGTTTGTCACAGCCAGGCATATAACAAGTATTATTCCCTCAGTATTGCAATACAAGACGTCGGGTAAATAGGTAATTGAGACAGTGGCGGATCCAGGGGGGGGGGGACCCGGGGGCCCGGGCCCCCCCCCCCCCCCTGAGAAAAAATAATGTAAAATCACGTGATTTTTACCTTTTTGAGGTTGGGCCCCCCCCCCCCCTGGCGCTCAAGGGGGGGGGGGGGTGCAAATTGAATTTTTTTGGAGGATAAAAAAAAAAAATGTGCTCACTACCCCCCCCCCCCCCCCCCTTGAGAAAAAAATAATGTAAAATCACGTTAATTTTACCTTTTTGGGGGGTTGGGCCCCCCCCCCCTGGCGCTCAAGGGGGGGGGGGTGCAAATTGAAATTTTTTGGAGGATCAAAAACAAAAAAAATGTGCTCACTACCCACCCCCCCCCCCCCCCCCCCCCCCCCCCCCCCCCACACTGAGCGACTTTTCGGCCGGCGCGATTTTTAAATTTTCGGGGGCAAAAAAAAGAAAGTTGGGCCCCCTCCCCTAAGAAATCCTGGTTCCGCGCCTGAATTGAGGTCCATAATTTGAACTATGGGGAGAAGGGGGGTATGATGGTAAGCGGAGTAGAAACCTAGCCCCTATAACCCTTTTTTCGTAAAAAGTACTACATTTTTAACCGTATTTTGGGCTACAGATTCACAAAATGTACTCTATTTCGCTCATTTTCTTACGTTATTCGAGTCGCAGGTTACTCATCCTCAAATAAAAGAAATTCGTTTGGTTCTTAAAGCCCCACTGTCCTACTTGTAGCTACTTGCTCCCTCTATATAGAAAACCTCCCCAATCGGTGCCTGTTGATCCCCCATGATCCTTTTTTTCTTATGTTAGTTGAGAGCTGAGTTAATGAGATAGCCACCTGTCAGTGACCTCGCTGTGTGGTCTAATTCCTTCTGGCCCAGTAGTATTGACGGTCCTTAAGGAAAAAATACAATTTTCTTTCAAATCCGTGAACATTGAAATGTTTGCGAACACCCCCAAAATTACTTCTTCTTGGCGAAATTTTAAACTATCACGCATACACAAAGACAATATTAAGTGACACCTAGTATTAATTTGTATTTCCTCTTTGCTTGATTTCTAGGAAATGATGCCAGGACGTTAGAAATCGAATGCCCAACAAACTCCTCATATGACGATGTTCTGGTTTCATTTGGATATGAAATCGCAGGAGAGGTGACTCGCGCTGATGGACATTTAACGGTCATCTGCACGAGAATTGACGGACAATCTTTTGACGTCGACTTCAGTCAGTCCACCCACCTGGGGATTTCATGCAAACGCATGCTTGACACACTATCGGTAATGTTAAAGTCACACTCTAGGTAACATCAATCGGAATTGATATTGTAATACTTGTTTTAGAAATGTGATCATTTGATTAATTTCTATTGTATTTTGCAAACTCAAAGCTCACATTTTATTATTATCATTGTTGTTATTTTTATTTTCATTATTATCATTATAATCACTATAAGGATTATTGTTATCAATAATAATGAAGATCGATATTAATCATATCAATATATGTATTATTATTATCACAAAGAGACAAACGCCGAGTCATTTAAATTCAATTTATTCACAATGGTAGTTACGGAACATCTGTTAAATGACTGTATTACGGTCCTCAATTACTAATAAAGTGTACGAATACTACAAAAAGAATTTGATAACATCGGCGCATTGTGAAGATAATTAGTAAAATGACCATCATAATGGACAGTGATTGATAAATAACAATAGGGTATATAGCCAGATATCATAACATATCAAAGTCATACAGTGGCGGCGCTCCGGAGGGACACAGTGCCCCCTCCCCACCTTGTCAAGTACCTAAAAAGTGCCCCTTTTACTTTGACATGTGCTCCTTTTTCTATGTAAGAAACTCCCCTCTCCTCCTAAAAGGTGCCTCTCTTCAAATCAGATAAGTGTCCATTTTATTTTGACAAGTGCCCCTTTTACGTAAGTGCCCTTTTTCCTTTGTATTAAAAGCACATTCCCTCCTCATAGATGCCCCTGTTGACCTCTGATAAGTTCCCCTATTGTAACCCGATATCTTTTTTTTCTTTCTACAATGCAGATTAATATCACTGCTCCAGCAAGAGTCAATATACTTGAATCTGCACTCCGTGTGGAAACAATTGTTTTTAATCGGGATTCATCATTGGGATCTGAAACTGGTGAGCTTCTTAAAATTGCATGTATCGCATAAGTTGTTTTAGAACCAATTCTCTTTTAGATATTACTCAGTCACTGTGTACATGCCGAAAAATAATTATAATGTAAAGGTAAATTGTATAGCTTTGAGTGAGAGACCCAAAAAGAGATATCGATATGTGGTTGATTGATGGAAAGAGAGACAATGAATAATAGAAAATGAGTTGAAAATGAAACACCCAAATAATGATAATGGAAAGAACGAATGACGTAACTTTGAATATATTTTTAAGTCATCTTGTTCATTTGATATCATAACCTGCTCCTATATCTATAATTTTGTTTAAACTCAGGTAAAAGCACTACAACCCAGATCGTTGTACCAACTGTCGTCGTGCTAGTTGCCTTAGGACTTGGTGTCTTTATTGCAAGCATGCGGTACAAAAGAAGGTATTCGCTTATTCATCTCACAATAAGATTTTTCTTGAGGAAATTTATTATAATTTCCTTAGCTTTCTACTTTTAGTTAGGTTTTCCGGTCATTTTCAACATCAAAGCGATAAATGTGTTTGTTAAACCAAAACCACATCGGGTGGCACAAATGAGGGACTATTCCTTCGACCACCTATAACATGCTTTGAGCACCCCCCCCCCCCCCCCTCCCCTCTCCCCCCCCCCCCCTTCCCCCTGCCCCCTCCCATTATCACTGGATGACATATGTAAATGACTCGTGAATGTGGAAGACATGACATATGAATAAGGGGGACAAATGACCGAACTTGAAAGTTCAAGTCACTGAAAAAGAGAAAATTGTACATATGAAACGTTAACATATATGCATCGGCAAATGCCCTGATGAGAATTTGTAAAGATTACATTTTACAATCCATAGCACAATTTTTTTTTTTTAACATCCTAAAATGACAATTATGTTCCTAAACAGGTCCTTTTTTATTCTCTTACGTTTCAATGGTTAAGGAACAAACAGGCGTCAGCCAATGCAGCGAACGTCTCAGCCCAAAAGGGCCTGTATCTACATAACCATGTTTCGTCAGAGGGAGGGGACGCGACGGATAACAGCCCTAGATACGTGACTTCGAATGCAGGACCAGAAGGTGATGGTACTGTTGCTTTGAACATCAGGAGCACAGTCAACCAGAATGAGGACACAGTGGTCTACAATGAGATTGGAGAGCAGGACTACAACACCTTATTCGGCGGCAAGGAGAGAGATGACTATCACGAGTACAACGTCCCAGATCGTCCCCAAGGAAAGACATCTGTTGTTAGGACCACTGCCAGTGGATCTGGTCCATATCAGGAACTCTTTCAAGATGGAACACGTGCGGTCGCTGTCGTGAATAGGTCACCTGGAGTAACAGGACCTAAGCATGGAGTGGCAGACGACCTTCACGCTTACCAAGATCTACGTCTGGACGATACGAGCGTCAGTAGTCATCCAAATGGTGAAATGCCAAATCAACTACCCTCAAAGGACACACCCGCAACGGAGAATGGATACCAGGTACTCAAGACAGCCACGCCTGACTACGCTACCCTTAAACCTAGTCCCGAGCCTGCTACCTTAGAGCAAAACGATCAGTCAATGACAGGCACTTCAGATGTTTCAGGACCTCCTTCAGACAAGCAATATGACACGCTTCAGCGAAGCATCAATACGGTCGGACAGCCAACCTCTGCAGGGTATGGTACCTTGAAGCCCATGAATGAAACAGATGATGATTACGAATCTCCAGATGTCAAGCCAAATACCACATATGACGTTAAGGATTCGACCAGACCCACCGAGGCTCTACCAATTGACCAACCGAAGACCAAACACTCTGTTTCTTATGATGACGATGACTACCAGACACCTATTGAGCCCGCTGAGGATCTGTCGGATGCCTACCAGACCTTGGACAATCCTGGATATCAACAAGAGCCTGACACACAAACCGAGGAGTACTCGCACCTTCAGAGGTCTCTAGGAGCTAAACTCCAATCTCATCCGAGCAGTATCCATGATAACAGCGATTCGTATGGCACTCCTTAATGGTGATGCTGAGAACCGGAAGTAAACGTTTAATTTTGAAATGAACTAGTTAATGTTTTTATAAAAGGATTGTTTGTGTATTAGATATGAAAGTGTTTTTGGTTTTAGAACCACCAAATCCCCACAAATCACAAGATCTTAATAAATATAGCAGACACGTACGGATAAGCACGCAATTTGTTTTGGCGAAAATCGCTTTCACAGACATTATGAATGAGTGATGAAATGGGGGATTTATTTGTTATAAGATGCCCAAGAATTATTAGAAATTCAGTCCATTTGTATATTATGACTTTAAACATGTTAAATATTGAGCAAGAAGGTGGTCGAGCGTCCCCTTTCCTCAACCATCTGCCTCCCCCCCTCTCTCTCTCTCTCTCTCTCTCCCTCTCTTTCTCTCTCTCTCTCTCTCTCTCTCTTTCTCTTTTTTCATTCTGTCACATTAGAAGCCTAAATAGTAAAATTTCTCATTTACAAGCAGTTTAGTTAAGAGACACATTGTGATTTGTAATTTGCTTTATTTGTATATATGATGAGCATGTTGAGTAACTTTATATTTACAACGGTATATACGGGACAACACATATGATACTAAGATATAGAAGTAGATTATCATTGTTATCAGTACTATTGTTTTTTAAATCTACACACTAAGAAATAAGGGTGACATTCTGCTACAATAGCAGCACCTTCTGCCAAGTACGCGTAGGTGGATGCAATTCTGCACCCCAATTGCACCCTCGTTTCTTAAGTGTGTAAATACCCTGTATATTGCGTAAGTTTTTTTGGTTTAAACGTTATCGATGCTGAAATCCTTTAACCTACATGTATGTTTATGTGTTACTTTGTGATACCCCGGTCACACCTGTATGACTGACAACAGACCGAACAAAATATGATATTACCCCCTTTGGCCTGTTTAGAGTCGATGTGCAACCGGTTTGACGGTGTGACTGAGATAGGAGTTTAATTTGTATTGGTCTGCTCTAGCAACTCATAAGCGATCTTCATATAAGAAAAGATGTTATAAATAAAGAGGGAGAATGCACATCTGTAACTGATAATGTTTTCAAAGTCTTTAAAATTAGTGTCACTGAGTGAAAGTTTATTCAAATTATTATTGTGGCAATCAACTGTGAATTTTTTTGGGGAAAAACGAAAAAATTCGATAACTTTGAATCAAACCGCAAGAATAATATACAATCATAACAATGAAATATTACAGTAACGTGATTTTATATCCTATTTCTAGAAGACCTATATATATCGGATCATAGATTTTATTAAAAATGTCATGAACATTGTACATCCTATCAGGTGCCATAAAACTACTTGGTTAATCCAAGTCAGATTAGGAAGGAATAAGGGCTGAAAGATTATTCAATAGGTACAGTCAAAAATTTCATTTTTTCATGATACGATACAGTATACCACAATGTGGAATTGGTGAATCGGGTGCAATACTTTAGATCCCAATCGAAGGACTTGCATTTGAGATAATGCCTCCCAAAGCATGTGATGGTGCTCTTACGTTTTATAAATCATACTATTTAATCACGGCTGCTCTATTCCAAGACAAAAGGGAAATTTTGATAATAAAGAGTCATGATGATCATGTGAAGTCAAACATTGGTGTTAATCATTTATACTATACAAAACGATTTGTTAAGGTCATGGATAAACTAAAGTGAAGTTGCAGATGGTTATCAGAAAAGGAATTGAATAAAACTAGAAATGCAATCGTGATCAAAGATATGCGTGCATTGACGCCCGTGTTTCGACGTGTCAAACAAAGGAGCTTATCCCGGACTATCTGTAGCAATCTGTAAGAAGTCCGTAGCTTCTGTGCTAGTGGAGATAGGTAGGGCGAAAGAAAGGCCTAAAAAACGACCCGAAACGAACAAAATGGCGCCTGGACGGTCACATATGAGTGATTCCGGAAAACGAAGATCGTCATTGCAATCAGTCAGACACCACTTTTGAAAACCGTACACAAGTAAATATGCCGAAAACAGCGTATAATGCATGATGAATCTTGAGCCCTCGACGTTTGAGGCGACGCAACGTGCACAAAGGCATGGGGGAATTATTTTGCTTGTCAACTTACTTTTGCGATATTTTCGAAATAAAATAGATATCTTCAAAGTCCTGTAATGTTTCGTCATATAATATGACTTTCATTTTGATTAAATATATCCTTAATATAATGTTTGGTTAAAGGGATGGTTGAGTTCTATTTAAGGACCGCAAATGCCTTCAAAGTGCATGTTTATCGCTCTTATTCTTATTTATGATATTTATAGTGCCCTTTTAGAACCTAAAATTGCTATGAACGTAATTTTAGACCCCAAAATGTGTGAAATTTAGCCAATACGATCATACCAATTCAGCTCCACTTTAAAAAAAAACACCGTGACCGTGAATTAAATATTTAATTGAAAATAAAATACGTGAGCCGGCTAACAAAAAGCCAGCATCGGCATTGGCTGAAATACGACGTAAAAGGCGTTATTTCGTATTTTTTTTAACGTTTTTTTTTCTTCAAATTTTTCAAAATATCTAATATTTGTGGTTGTACACAAGTATTAGAAATCGTTATATTTCAGTCGTCCCTGAACCGATTTCGATCAAATAAAAAAAGATGATTATGTCATTTAAATATAATGTTCTTTCAAATTTGTCCCTCAGTTTTTCATTATCTCACAATTCTTTTTTGTGTAGCGCCCTCTGCAACATAACTCAACTATCCCTATAAATACTGGACTACACCAAAAACAGGGCGACGATGCAAGAATTCCCCATTCCTTTTGTACACAATAGGGACTTTGAGATTTGCACGTCGACAAAGTGGACTGCTACGTTTGGCGTCCTTTTAAGGCACTGGCAGTGCCTTAAAAAGGAAGTCACAGTGCCTTCAAAGGACTATGTCGACGTGCAAATCTAAAAGTCCCTAATGCCTGGCGTTGAACGACGATGAGTCTATAAAGATGCCAAATTTGGTGCATTTACCTGTGCTCATTTTCCAACGTTGTGTCTAAAAGTCATAACACGAGGCGTCATTAACCTGGCGTAAGATTGCGTCAGGGACATCTAGGTCAGGGACCATGGTTACTAGTGCGTCCTTTGCCGTGCCTTGTGGGAGTTACATTCTACAAAATATAATCGCAATCGCAAAAAGTACAGTGAAAATCACGATGATCGGATGAAATCAGGGAACCCTTTGGATTGTGATAGAAAACAATACGACCCATTACACTATACTTTAAAACACTAGCCTATTTCACTTTCTATTATGGAATTTGGTATGTGTGGCGGAGTGGGTTTGCTCCTAAACAATTTTCTTCATATAAGATTAATATCTCTATGATATTATAACCTAATAGTAATAACGGAAAAATAAATCAAGAATTCAATGGATTAATGTGTTCAATTCTCATCCAGGATGATATAAGCACCATCTTCATTATCCTCACGAGCATTCACTGAATCTGCAGAGTAATACTCATGGGAGTCGGGGTTTTCTACTGACCCTCTTTTCTCCTTCATAAGCGGTTTATGGATGCGCGTACTGTAGTATCCTTCACTGCCGGTGACTTTTGGTGATCCCATACTACCTTGTCGGGGGATACGCGAAGAGTAGTACACCTTAGAGCCAGCGGCTGCTCGGCCTTGCATGTCACGATCCATGACAATGTACCCCTCTTCGTCGGTACTCCTGGCCGAAAATGGTGCCTGGATAAGGTCCACATCTGGCATGTCTGGGAAGTCCGATGAGCTGCTCTTTAAATGAACGGCCTGAAATGGGACGAGGTATTCATGGGATATTTCAGAATCTGCCGTTGTTGCCGAAGAAACTTTCTTGTCAGGATCTTTGTAGAGAACTTCTCCTACCAATGTCTCATGAGGGTTCTTCACTGAAGGATTAGTTCCTGAAGAACACGGAATTCTATGTGATCTAGGCATCGCGTTTAACAACCGAGACGTTGCGCCGTGGACACTTTGATCCCGAAGGCCCATGTCTCGGTTTTGGTCATTAGCTCTCTCCGTCACTCTGATAGGTAAATTTCCAGTGTGCTTCAGGCGGTGATATGTCAGTATACCTACAACACTGAGGATCAGGAAAATGACGACCGCAATGAAGATTGGAATAGCAATGCGAACCGATGGACCCGGGGCTTCTACAGTAGAAATGCCTAGATAAATGAAGAAATTTGTAAATAAACTAATAGATAAATAGATTTGAAAAATACCAACAAAATTGTGATAACGACAAAAGATAAGATTTCAGCTTGGATTTAAAGGTCTCTAAGAAAGTTATGATTCTCAAATTAAATGGTAAATTATTCCAAAGACAAGGTGCTGCAGGTGAAAAGGCCCTTTCACCACAGGCTACTCGTGTCTTCGGGATCTTAAGAAGATGCTGGTGTGATGATCTTGGACTACGAGCTGGTGTGTAAGGCATATTAACAAGGTTTTGTAAATAGTTTGGTGGTAATCCGTTTACAGCCTTCCATGTGAGGAGAAGGATTTTGAATTCTATGCGCTTGCAGATTGGCAACCAGTGCAGCTTTTTGAGAACAGGAGAAATGTGATCATATTTAGATGCCCCCTGATAAAACCCTGGCAGCTGCATTCTGAGCATGTTGAAGTGTGTCACGATTGCGTGAAGTAATAATGAAAAGCATCCATGACCTCATATCTTCTATAGAAGCCTGTAGACGATGCCTGGCAGAAATTTCACTTGCAGGGTCGGATGGGTCGAAGGAAAGGTACAATTGTGTATCATCTGCATAAAAATGAATGCTTACGCCATGTTTATGAGCAAATTTTGCAAGAGGACTAGAATAAATGCTAAAAAACAATGGCCCGACGACTGACCCTTGCGGCACAACAAAAGGAACCTTAACGGGAGATGACAAATTTTCACCGATTTTAACAACTTGTGATCTTTTATCAAGATATGATGCTATCTAGTCGAGCACAACCCCTCCTATGCCAAA